ATATATATATATATATATACACACGTATATATATGTATATATTACAAAATATATTTTAAATATAATACATAAATATAGTTTAAAAACATGCAACATACACAAATTATAGATTTATCTTATTTATGTACTCTGAATTGCTTGTATAAGATAAGACATGTTTGTACTTTATGTGACTTATTAATCGAATTAATAGAATATATTTAAAAAATTTAAATTAGAAACATAAATTATACACATTTCAGATAACAATATCAATTGCTTAGATAAAAGCTGTATCAAATCCAAAGATATTGTAAAGCTCCTATCAAATAGAACTCCACTTTTAAAGTAAATAGATTTTGGACTTGATTTACTTCTGCATATTCCTCAAGTACACACACACACACACACACACACACACACACACACACACACACACACACACACACCTTGGAAATTAAAAATCTTGAATATCTTACTTATTTTTGATTAAAAAATGTTTCAGATGAAAATGAAACGGGGATTTCAAGGGGGACGTATTTTGTGCATGTTGTTTTTTATTTTTTTAAGTTGAGGTCAAACATATAAAGGTCATTACCATTTTTAAAAATGGATTATATGATTATTTTTCTGTAACGTGATTCCTTTAATTATTTTGCACATAAAAGTATTAAAGTAGAGATATAAAAAGAATGAAGTTTACAAGGTATCTTATACTTTATTCTGGCATATATTGACATGAAATGTCAAATATCTCGTAAATTATTATCTTTTTTATAATTGTACCTTAATACTTTTATGAATAGAATAAAAGTTGAGATGAATTAACTGATGTGACAAACATATACTTAAAGAAAAGCAACTGTGCAATTTGCAATATGCAAATAAGATAATCGGATCCTGCATAGTTTAACTGATCTTTGAAACTTTTTCTAATTTTTTCAGTTAACTGTTAAAAGTTGAAAACTGATAAGAGTTGAAAACTAATAAATTTAAAAAAGGAAACATTTTTCAACATAAAAAAATATAAAACTATTACAAATAGGTACATGAATGTAGTGAAGATTTTAAGAAAAAGTAGGTTATATTTTTTATCTTTTAAAATATTTTTTACAAAAAGTTGGGAAACGTATACTTAAATCATTCATGTGTATCTGACATGATTTAAGTAGAATACGAATCCTTTTTTCGTAAAAAGATAGAAAAAAAAAAAGATAAAGTGATTCTATATTACTTTTATAGGTTTATAAATTTATTAACTTATTTATTGACATGTTAGAATATATAAAAAACTGTTTTCTAAAGTGACTTATTTGTTTATTTACTGAGAATTCCAGGTTCAAACTTTGACTGAGGCAGTATTTTTCGCAATTTATTTACAAATATAAGATTTCATAACATTAAATAAATTAACATTTAATTTTTAATTTTTATTAAAATGTTTACTAGCTTTAAAAATTGCTTGTCAATTTTAATTACTACTCTGATTCTGCTCATAATTGCGTTTGAAGACCGAAAAAAATTTTGGCGTGCAGTTTACGGAATCAGATATGTACATAAATTTACATAAAAATATTTAAACACTAGGATTTGCTTCGAGACATCCTATATATTCATTTTTTAAATAGCAATTATGTGTTTTCTTTACATCAATTTATCTCGTCATTCTGTATATAAAAATATTATGATATGATTATCGAAAAATTAGTTTACGATATATCGCATATCAAAATGTGCCAAAATGAAGTATAAAATATTTCGTGAACTATTGATTTTATATTTTTAACTTAATATGCAGAATAATTAGAGGAATCATATTAACTAATTAAAAAATCACATAATTCCATAGAAAAAATGGAATAATGCGATAGTCTTCACATCTTCAAAAATTAACTTTTTTTCGAAAATTGATTTTATTATTTGCATTCTTTTTCTTTCCCTCTTTAAACTGTACTTTTCGAAACGTTTTTCCGTACTTTCCACGTTTTTCGAGGTATTTGTTTGTAGTTAATGGGATATCTTATATATGTATATATTGATTTAAATATGCATTCGAAAGTTAGTTTTTTTTTACAAAAATTAATAATTATAATATGTGTATAATGGAAAAAATAGTAATTTCTATTTTAATTATCAGTATGGTGATTATGATGAAATTTCATATCGCCCTGGAATGCTTGCCAGTGAGGACTTGCTTCCACAAAGAGTTATAGATCAATATCAAATGACTCCAGAAATGTGGGAGGATAGGATAAAAATTTGGTACGCCGATCATCGTGGCATGTCTCGAGACGAAGCAGAAATGGAATATCTTAAGATTGCTCAGGATCTCGATATGTATGGTGTGAACTATTTTCCTATTAGTGTAGGTATATAATGTAATTTATATTAACTAATATCTTTCGTAAATGTTCACTTTAGAGAAAACCCCTGTGATGATCTTGATCTTGATATATGTTGTCAAGGACACTCTTCTGAGCAACTTCCAAAAGGTTTTACCTTATTATTTATTAAAAAGATACAAACCGGAAAGATTCAATTTTATTTAATCTAAATATCGCTTTATGAGCATATTTACATACCTATGGTTAAATCTATGTGAAATTTTATTTTGCTTTGTGAAATATAGTGCGTGAACGCACTGGATTTCGTCTCTTTCTCTTACGGAGGTGGGGGGAGAGAACTCCATTACCAAAAAATAAGTTTGAGTTGAACCTCGCTTTGCGTGGGAAGTTGCAAACTCATGTAGTACCTTGCTTCGCTGAATACACACATTATATGTATGTGTATAGAGCTAGTGAGTCCCCAGGGGGGGGGGGAGACTTTAATAAAAAAAAAAACTAATTTAACTTTGGTTTTACAATTTTCAACACGAAGCAAAGTTTCAAGTTGGATTTACAATTGTTAATTTTTGACGTGAAGGAAGGTTCAACCCAAACTTGTGTGTCTAATTTTTTGATAGTGGAGTCGCCGGGCGCGGAACACATTTTTAAAAATTGCATATTTACGCACTTTAAATGTAAAGCAAGGTTCCACATGGGTTTATAACTTTCCATGTAACTTTCCAAAAATATGTATTGTATTACTATTCAAACTATTAGAGAGAATAATTAACTTAATTTTTTAATAATATAGTTAAAAAAACCATAGTTAAAAAACTTTTTAGAGAGCACTTAAGAGAGTATTCTTGACACATATGTTGTATATGACTATACAACATATGTCAAAGTCAAGAACATCAGAGATGTGTGTGTGTGTGTGTGTGTGTGTGTGTGTATGTCTCCCCTAAAGTAAACATTTACCAATATTTTGTATATCCTTAAATATTTTGATATCTTAAAAAATCTATTAATATAAATTTTCTTGTTTTATATCATAGAATAAGAAGGAAACAGATCTTTGGCTTGGAGTTACAGCATTGGGATTGAATATTTATGAAAAGGAAAATAAATTGGCACCGAAGACAACGTTTACATGGTCGGAAATTCGTCATATTAGTTTCGACGATAAGAAGTTCATAATCAAGCCTGTAGAGAAAACATCACCAAACTTCATGTTCTTCTCGCAGAAAACTCGCATGAACAAACTGGTAAAAAAACAATCAGATGTTGGCAGCTGGGTGAGGGGTTTAATAGCTTTAAAGTTGAACGAACATAATAGTGATACAGCTGCTCATGTATTATTTGTTAAGATCCTAGATCTATGTATTGGCAATCACGATCTATTTATGAGGAGACGCAAACCGGATTCCATGGAAGTTCAACAAATGAAAGCACAAGCCAAGGAAGAAAAATCCAGGTAAGTAAACGTATCTACCTTCATAAAACGATTTGTTTTTATCACAAATTCTGTGTTTATATATTCAAAAAGATGTCTAATGACTTCATTGTCTACATAACTAACAAGGAAAGGCCCTCAACTTGGAAATTTAAAAATTATGAAATTCTGACAATACATAAAGGATACTCTGACAAGTAACGAACAATTCTTTTTGCTATCCGAATTCATCCTAAAGAGATAATGATGAAGGGAAAGACCTTCATCATTCCGTTCTGCTATAATGTAGACATGATATCATATTTTATTAACATGCCTGGACTGTATTCGAGTTTTAAGAAACGTTGGATTAATAATATCAATATCATAATTAGCGAAATATATCATTAGCTCTTATGTCATGGCTGAATCTTATTCGCAAATAAGATTACGATTAAATAAGGGTGATTTTCTTGCAAGTAAAAAATCGATTTATGTATATTCCGAGAGCTCCTGAATTAGCAGATAATTTGCAGTCTTGAGATTAATTATTTTCTGATTTTCTAACATAATTTTTTCTTACGTGCCGGACGCCAGAAATGACTTTCCTGCTAAAGGGTTCTAGCTCAAAATTAAAGGATTGTATATTTTTGTATCACATTAATACTGGAGCCATTTTTATTAATGAAATTGTAGATATAATGCTATTTTCTATGACTTATCTTTTAAGTGTAAATTAGTTTTTGCGAGTTTTGAGGATAAGGGATGGAGCTCAAAAATTGAAACTGCACTAATTTAAAAGCTCATAAAAAATTGCTAATTCTGAGCTATTCATCTTTTATTTCCGTATAGCTGGACAGAGAGTCATCTCACTGGATGATTTTTTAAATAAAAATTATGATATTTCAACATAATTTTTATCACAAATTTCTACTTAATTTAAAAAGCTGACTCAGAAATCTGTCCTGTATAATGTCTTCTTAGATCAAGGTCGCTGATGAAATGTATAACTTTTTAAAAATAATTACATTACCATAATTTCTCCGTAATCTTCTTTTAAACGATGAAAATAATCACAAAAATAATGTGTGAATAAGTATATTAAATTGCAAAGGCATATACTTTAAATGGAATTAACCTGTCGGTTGTATATTTGTAAGTATTACAATCGAAGTCCAGATATTTTTTTAACAGACCGAAGATTGTTATATATTATCGAGTACATTATATTTAAGGAAATAAAATGTATGATAATGATTTAATTTAATGATTAATTTAAATTATATTTTTATCAATATTTGATCATCTGAATCTTTTAAAAATATCTATGACATTACATGTAGGAGGCAAATTGAAAGAAATAAATTAGCACGAGAAAAACAATTAAGAGAGGCAGCGGAAAGAGAAAAGGCTGCAATGGAACAGCGACTTCTACAATATCAGGAGGAGATACGATTGGCAAATGAAGCTCTTGTAAGAAACTAATGACACAGAAAAATATAGAAATAAACATATAAAAATATAAATTAAATGTATACATAGAAAATGTACGTATTTAATTATTTAATTTTATGTTTTATAGAGAAGATCTGAAGAGACGGCAGATCTTTTAGCTGAGAAAAGCCGTGTAGCAGAAGAAGAAGCAATGCTTTTAAGTCAGAAAGCATCGGAAGCTGAACAAGAAATCACGCGTATACGATTGAATAATATGAAGACTGAAGAAGAAAAAGTCCATTTGGAACGGAAAACTAGAGAAGCTGAATTATTAACTGAAAGACTAGTTCAAGAATCGGAACGTAGAGCTGCTGAAGCAGAAAAATTAAAGGACGAATTATTACGTGCAAGAATTGCTGAGAAAGAAGCTAAGGAAAAATTATTAGAGTTCCTGAGTAGAAATGCCTATACCTCTACCATAACTGTAAGTACACCGTTAACATTGATTCATAAACAGTGCAATTAGAAATATTTATATCAGACTTGTCCAAAACTCAGTTCGTGAACCAGAGTTTTTTCTCCGCCCTCTCAGTGAGCGCCGTAGTAGAAAACAGATGAGACAATTTGAAGGATACACAGTAGAATCAAATTTAGAACCCAAATTTGATTGGTTAGCTGATTGCTCTGGATTGCCGTTATGCGCGTTGTCTCATTTTCCTATCATGGAGCAAATTGGAATGGATTCCGATAGGAATTATTCAATTATTCCATAAATTTCTATTGTGTTGTCTACTGAAAATAAAATAATTCCGATCGGAATGTTCCATGATAGGTAAACTCTGTCTTCTTCCACCATGAGCAAGACGAAGCGTAAATAACAAAGGATAAACGCCAGTGCTCTGTCTAATTCAGGTCTGTCCAAACGTCGTTGCAATATGCAACGTTGCAACTATAGACATAATAAGAATAGACCGAACGTGTCCTCTACTTCAGTGGGAAGATAGGTAAAAAAAAGACAGAGAGCAAGATATTTACACTAACCACACTTTATTCCTCCCCTCCCCCCCCCTCGCCCCTTCCTAGTCAGAAAGAGAAAGCTACACGGCATCCCAGAGAGAATCAAGGAAGAGTGGAGTGGATTCCGCCGTTCGTTGGAGTGAGTACGAGATGTAGTGATGGTGGAAGCATGATGGAACATACGGTGCTGCACACACTAGTATTGTACCGCACTAGTATTGTGTGTATGTACATATACGTACATGCATACATGCACATTTGAAGTTGAGCTATAAATGGCGGAATCAGAGAAGAGAAACGCTATCCGCTTCACTCTCCCTTAATTCTCTCTGCGGCATCCATTGTCCGTCCTTTTCTATCTAGTCTTCACGTTTCTCATACTCGGACTGTGTTCGGTTTGCATGTTCACACGCTTTAAGCATTTATAAGCATTGCTTACATTGTTCGCTTTGGCGGTGTAAGCACTCAAAGATGCGTTCATGACGTCATCCGTGACGTCATACTGGTGCTCACAAATGCTTATTTCATCGAGGTAGGGCAGCAAAAGCGTGAGCGCAAATAAGCGCTTATTGGCCAAAATAAACGTGAGCATGTTCGATTGGATTGCATACATATTTTAACGCTCTCGTAATATACTTGTATATGACGTTTACAAACGTTTCCCGATTTTATGCTAATAAAAAAAGGATTTTGTTCACCAACAAGGAATTGAATGTTTAAATTTTTACCAAAAAATAGAAAAAAGAATTAGCATTAACAGATAAAGTTCTAGTTGATTTAGAAGATGCACAGACTGGGAATATATACACGATATCTCTAACTCCCGATGAAATACCACGACTCGAATGCACCTTTGATGGAAGGAAATAAAAGAGAGTTATAAGACAAAAAAGTTACATTGAAAAAAATTTACAAAATTATAATGGCTTAGTTTACATCGTGCACTTGATACGAGTACTAACTAGTAACTTTCGTTGAATTATCTTAATTTCATACATGAGATGTGTATTTAATTAATTATTTTGATGCATATTGTATTAATTTAAGTTTATTGTATTAATTAAGTACAACATTCTTTGAATAACATCGCTGAAACTAAAATAATTTAATAGAAAGTTACTAATTAGTATGTGTCAAATGCACGATGTAAACTAAGCCATTATAATTTTGTAAATTTTTTTCAATGTAACTTTTTTGTTATTTGTTTAAATAGTACCAATGGGACATTTGCTTACAGTAAATAAATATTTATTTTAAGAAATAATACTTAAATCATTACTTTTTATTGAATAAATTTTTATTCGCTATAAGAGCAAATGTCTCATTAATATTATTTTAAACAGATATTTATCAAAATTTCATAAGTTTTTATTTTTAATATATAAGAAATGAATTACTTACGGTCAATTATAATCAATGATAATCATCAATTACGTGTTCAAGCTTAACGCTTAATAGTCAAAATGTACGACTTCACTTATTTAATATGACTACTAACAAACCAAATTGAGCACCAAAAAACAACACTTAAGCATAAGCGTTTACGTGTGAGCGTGAAAACCGAACGTAAGCTCGGTCTATTCTTATTATGTCTATGGTTGCAACACATTCCAACAATATTGCTGCAAATTTTTGTGCTATATGAGAACATCCATATTTTTTATATCAGACACGGTAGTATCTCATTGCTAAGACAAGTGCAACATGTCATGGCTCATGGTTAGACCGATCGTGTACTTTTACGCGAGCCGGCGAGATGAGGATGACCGAGATTATTAGATTTCAATAAGGGCTGAACCGATCGAATTCTTGTATTCTTAGACCCAGTTCCACAACTCACGGTTAATCCTTAACCGAGGTTCAACTTATTCATTGTCTCTTTCCAATTTTAGAATTGGTAAGAGATGAGAAACAAATTGAACCTCGGTTAAGAGTTAACCGTGAGTTGTGAAACTGGGCTTTAGGGTCTTTTTCATCAATCTCGATTAAGTTAACCGATGATTACATGGGACTCCTTTATGCCCATTTCTAACATAGATTAACATAGATTAACTTTAATCTCGGTCCAACTTACTCTTCATCTTTTTCTAATCTTCTGAACTAGAAAAAGACGAAGAGTAAGTTGAACCGATTAAAATTAATCTACATTGGTGGAAACGGGCATCAATTTTACAACTCATGGTTAACTTTTAATCGAGGTTTTAACTTATTTTAAGTAATACTTAGTGAATCATTACATCCTTGTTATTTGCCTATAAACAAGAATGAAACGAGTCACTGTGTTACACAGGCTGTGTTCGCTCTGACGTTTATAACGGTTTAAGCGTCGTTTCATCCTTCTTTAGTAAATATTAAACAGGGACAATTGATACTTACAAGCGCTGTAAACAGCAAAGCGAACGTAACCACAATGTCTGATTGTTGCTGGAAAAATATCCGGAAAAAATAAATTTTATGATTGGATCCCATTGGATGCATTAGGTGCATCAGTGACTCTTGTACCTGTTTGATCTATATTTTTATATCTAATAGAATATGCAATCAAATGCAAGAACTCATTAGACGTTTAAACCGTCGTTCTTGATGTACCTGATTGTATTCTTATAAGTTTCAATGCTATATCTCGAACCATCCAGAAGTTATTTAGATACTGCCCTGAACTTTGGTGGATACTGTATATGGACGTTTCAGACTCAACGCACCTAACGGCAGATTCTTCAAGTCATTTTAAGATAAAAATTCTAATCCCAAAATATCGGAACTCTTTGTATATACATATACTGTATACAGAGTGTCCCAGAATGACCACTAAATATTTCGTGTGCTGGTAGAGCGAACTAAACTGAATTGAAAAGTCCTTTATCATTTTGCAATTTTCGCAATAGTTAATAAGCTATTAATTACTAAAAATTGCCAAATATTGGTGTTCATTAATTTTTTATTGAAGCACTATCAACTTCACAGAAAAACACATGACAAATATTGTTTATTTTTTTCTCATAGAGCTCTAAAAATTTTTTCAGAATTTTTTATCAATTTTTTAGTATTGCATTTTCTTATTAGTAATTATTTTTTTGACCAATATGAGAAAATGCGGTACTGAAAAATTCTGAAAAAATGTTCAGAATTCTGAGAAGAAAATAAACAGTTTTTGTCACTTGCTGTTTTTTTTGTAAAATTGATAATAATTGAGTAAATAATTAATGAAAACCAATATTTGGTGATTTTTAGTAATTAATATCTTATTAACTATAATTGCAAAAATTGCAAAATAATAAAGGACTTTTCAACTTAGTTTATTTACTTACTTATTCAGTTTATTTATTTACTTATTCATAAAACTTATGAATCGTTTATTTAATTTGTTGACAGCCTGTGCCAAATTTATTTCCGTCTACGCAAGTGCTTCCGTCAGATCTACAAGCAGATCTTCAGACTCTACAATTAGAACCTTTACACGCAGAACCTCTACCACCTGATTTAACATCCTATGATCTTATTAGCGATGGAGATGTTGATCAACTTTCATTAGAGATTGAAAGGGAAAGGAGCGATTATTTAGAGAAAAGTAAGCATTTACAGGAACAACTGCGAGAATTACGTTCCGAAATTGAAGGTTTAAAAGTTGGTGATAAACAGTGTGAATTGGATCACTTGCATGAGGAACAAGTTCGACTCGGCGAAAATAAATACAGTACTCTAAAAAAAGTGAAATCCGGATCCACTAAAGCTAGAGTCGCCTTCTTTGAGGAGTTGTAATTATTGAGAAAAAAATGAATTTACTAATAGACGCGTATTAATATGATATTAGTAAAATTCATTTGACACTGAAAAAGTAAGATCCTATAAATATGTATGCGAGCGCGTATGCAAAGAATAGAGTGGATATCCACTTAATCTAATTGAGAAATGAAATATCTTGTAATAATATACTTGAGTATTCTATGTAGAATATTGAATCAGACATTGAACTAGATTTATTAACAAATTTGAAATTCTTTTTTACAAAATGTCCGTTGAAATTCTATACAGATATTGTATATAGGAAATCATAGACCTGTTGTTCGCTATATTAAAATTTTTGCTTTCGGCAAATTCAAATATATACGCCAACTTCAAATATCTATTTTATTTTAAGTACAAGTTTCTTAAATAGCGCTCATTAATTATATAGCACTATTCCTAATAAAAAAATTGAGTTAAAAAGTTCTGAATCATTTTTTTCCTACAATGATCAATGAAGCAATTATTTCCGAATAAAGTTAATCCAATCGGGACCGTCTTTTGGATATCACACGTGAGTGAATCGCGTGCTTAATATTGTGCATAAATGTTCTGCCGTCTCGTTACGTTGTCTTCATCGTTTATATTCTCAATCATAATGGTGTGAAAAAATTTCTTTTGCATTAAAAATCATATTTTTTCTATCAGAAATATCTTTCGAGAAAATTTCGATAAGAAATAACTCTCTCTGTACATTATAAAAAAAGACTCTATTGTACCAAATTAAAACTTAATTTGTATTATTTTTACAAGAATATGTGCTCCTCGAAACAAAAACTATTATAGCAAATTATATAAAATCCAAGTGACACTATCTTTAGTGTACCAAACAAAAAAAAATAAAACCCAAGTGATATTATCTTTATTATTTATTTAACTAATGATACGTGTATCGTTTGTATAAAAAATTTCTTATCAACAACTGATGCCAAGTTAAACCTTACACTTTTTCCAATCAAAGTAGTAGTAATTATTTAATTCTTTTTCAAAACATATTGTATCACAAATTGCGTAATCTTATTCAATGCAAGTGTTTTCACAAAGAATTAAAAAAGTACAGTATAAAATAAAATTTTAATTAAATAAAAAAATTTTTTTATGTAATATATTTGGCTGCTTAATCTTGAAATATAATATAATAAATTATGAAAAAGAAAAAACTTAACTAAACTTTTTATTCAAATTAAATTCATTATTATTTTTAAATTGTTTTCATTATTTTCTTTATTCGATCTAACAGTGCCAAATATTTTACATAAAAAAATTTTTCTATTAAAAATTTTTTTATTTTATAAGGTCTGTTCTTTTTTACTGAACTTTTATACCAGTTTATCTTTCTCTCCAGGAAGAAAGAAGAGGAAAAAAGATGAACTAGTGCAAAAGTTGAGCCAAAAAGAACAGGCTTATACCACTGAAGAGATATTATTAAAGACCGTCAACCTTGGGCAAATTTTCGGCGGTATAAAAAGGGCCTGGAGGTAATTGAACAACGATATTACCGACAATTGATATAAATTTGCTATTATTAACATAAATATTTGGTTCATACATTATTAAATTCATGATTTTTTATTACATAAATGTTTCATAAATAAATATGCATACTTACTAAAGCTATAATATTCTATATATTGCAGAAAAATTACAATTTTTTTCTCTGCAGTTATCATCTCTGTTGATAATCAAACTTTGATGATAGCACTGAAATCATAATTGAAAAGAAAAATCGAGTTCTAAATGCATAAATATGTCCACTAAACTAATAAATCATAAAATTAGTACAATATTTTCAGTTTTTAACTCTTAATTACTTCAATATTCACAAGAACGCCAACTCCCATAAGGATATCGGTCTTTAATAGTATCTCGTCAGTGCTTATACTGTTAAGCCGGGAGCACATAGAAAAACGTAAGACCGTAAGGATAAATCCACACAAACTTGTATAGCCACATAAACGTATGCGTAAAGAAAATTATCCAATCACATCTTACGTGTAATTTTGTAAGACAAATGCGATTGGATAATTTTCTTTATGCATATGTTTATACGACTATGCAAGTTTGTGTGGATAAATCATAAGACGTAATCAGTAAGGATATCGTAAGATTGAATTCGCTATTGGCCTTACCGTAATTGGGCAATTCACTTACTGATTACGTTTTTCGGCCTTACATTTTTGAATGTGCTATGGGCTTTACCAGAGAGAAACCTGAGAGAGGACATAACGGCCCCAAAACCTGTAACCGCAAAATGCTGCCACGCACTACTGCCCTCTAACAAAGTGGATGTAAACTACATGGCAACGTTCACTTTTCTTATGTCTCCGGCATACCAGCTCAATGTTTGTCGCGCGCGACATCCAATGAATGTACAGCTTTACCGATATTTTTATTCTAATGGATCTTGCACACCACGCGTTGCGCGACACGCGATACACGACGCGCGACATCCAGGTTGCCTTCACTCGAGTTCATCTATGTATCATTTTATTCTTGTTGTTCACTAAATGTTAAACGAGGATAAATAATACACGGATGCACCCAGGTAAACACAGCCCAATAAGCATATATATAATTTTTCCAGTAGAGGTTGTAAAATGTTTTGTTACATATATCAAGGTTATAGTATGTAAGGTGTAGCGGTTGCTATATATAATGAAATGTCGGTAAAGGAGGAAACTCACTAAGGAGACTAGACTTGAAGCTGTTTGGTCAGTCGTGACGTTTCGTCTCGGTCCCACACTACTAGACTCATCAGTAAGGCGATGTAGTGGGAACCTGCCTGAAGACGCTCTGGAGGTTTAGGTGGCTATACTATTAAAGCAAGTTCGCGTAACTGAGGTACTTTCGCGAATTTCATCTTAGACCTCTGGTGGCGGTTGCCACAAAGGTAATCAATCTTGAAGGTGCAGCCACAATAGAAGAAATAAGGAATTAGAAATAAGGAATAAGGTTTTCGACCTATCAGATATTGAATACACTGAAATACACGGTTTCTGATAGGTTGAAATTCGTATTTCTTATTCCTAATTCCTTATTCCTTCTATTGTGGCCGCACCATTAAATTTCTTCACACACCAGCAACACTAGCGTGAAGTGAAGTCGCGAAGTAATTAATGAAACCAACATGGTGATATTTCTAACCTAAATGACGATTTGCATAATTTTTTACTACTATTCAACAGTTTGACAGTATGTAATATTGATATTTTATGTTCAAAAAGTAAGATGAAGTAAATGAAACATTTATAATCCGTAAAATGACAACGGCTTTCTGAATAATAATAAGTAATAAAGGACATGTAAGCCAACACCTAGCATTGACTTTCATCTTGCTTATTTATTATTATTAATATTATTACTATTATTTTTATTTAATTTATATTGGGTGCTTTCTCCATTTAGTCAGTTGAATTTGGACCCAAGTCAATACACACAAATCTTCTATTTTTCATGGTATTCTGATTGTATCAACTGAACGACACTTCTATTAATTTGTGTCACTAAATAGAAAGTATTCAATAATTATTAATATTTACTTTACGAATGTTGAATAATTGTGTTCAATAATTATAATTGCAGATGTAACATAAGATTATTCATTTGAGGCTATTGCAAATTAATTATAAAAATAATAGCCTTTCTGTGGAAAGCAGCAATTTAGTTATTTTCTGCTTGAACGACTCATTAACAAATATGTCTGGAAAAGGGAAGCAGAGTTCTAAGAAAGCTGTCATTAAAATACGTGAATCTGGAAAAACTGCACAATCTTCAACAATGAATTCTGATGCAAGCTCGGAAGTACCCGAGCCAACAACTTCTCAATTTCTTCTAAAGACAGTCGATAATAGTCGACATCTGCCAAGATATACTAGTATCTTAAAGCGTACAGCAGAAGAAGGTGTTGTAATGGATGATCTTGATACACTACAATTAGAGCTTGAGACACTCTTGTCAGCAGTTGTTGTACGGCATCGTACACTTCAAGATGAGATTGCCAGCTTGTTTTCTGCAGAAGAACGTAAAGACAGAAGATCAAAGAGCAGTAAGAGTCTCTCTCTACTTGACAAGAAGATACGTGAGGAGAAATTTAAACCAAAGGAGATTAACACTAAGAGTCAGTCACCTTTACATACAAAACTCTTTAAGCAGAAGACAGTAGGAAGTTCAACCAGTCAGGTAATACCAACTTTACATGAAATGTCAAGAATCGAAGGATCTAAGTCTGATGTACCAAAATTGCTCTTACCGAAAAATGATACACCCAACAAATTTTGGGCATCAGTGGATTCCTATTGCACTGATATCATGCCTGATGATATTAAATTATTGGAAGAATTAATTGCTACGCATGGGGACATAAATGAATTCAAGAAGATTTCTCCCTTAGGCCGTCATTATAGCTTAATGTGGGCACACAACGATTTATTGCAAGAAGAAGATGCAGCCAACTCAAACAGAGAGAAGAAGAAGAATCGCACAGATATGTCACACTTGATATCTAAAGGTGATAAAAAAACTAATAGTATTGCAGGACCTCTTACTCAGAGATTGGTTTCTGCACTTTTGGAAGAGAATGTATATGTTGCAAATAATAACATGGAGAACAAATTATTCCGAGATGGAGATCCACCCGTTTTGAGAGATCTAACTATCCAGAATTCCATGAATCTGGAGTTACGAATGCATAAAGAATTGGTCGAGCAAGGTATATTGGAACCCGATGTGCAAAAAAAACATCAAGAGGATGACGAGATTCTTGCAGAAATTAAAAGATGTCAACAAGAACTTGTTGTATTATCTAATCATAATGTTACGGAACTGAAGAGATTATTAAATCTGGCCCAGGAAGAGAGCAAGAGGCAAGCATTGAAACGGAAAATTAACGTTGCAGATAATGACGTGATAGAACATTATAAGAAATTGTCCATGGCGAAACAGAGAAAAGTACCATTGACGAGAAAGGATCATGAGAAAGCATGGGCATGTCTTCGAGAAAGGGAAAATCTTTTAGAACAATTAAATATTACTAAATAGTTTAAAGATATGTTTTAAATTGTGTGATTGTTGTAAAAAAATATTTATTGGGATCTTTGATATAATGGTCGTAATAATATTATGAATCATGAATTTCTTATACCAAGAAGTATATAGATTGAACAAGGTTTATATGGAGAAATCAATGCATAATTATATTATGATAAAAATTAATTTGTGCAACGTAAACATAGTTTAGAATCCAATAATGTAATAGTCTGTATATACTGAATTTGAACATATATTTTTCTTTGGCATAATGTTACAAGATTAAATTTACTTGAAATACTGAAAAAAACTCCAAGTTTGAACAATTTGATGTAAATATAAGAGAATCCTTTTTCCGAAAAATTTATTTAAACTGTAAATTAATTTGATATTATATACAACATTTGATTGTTTCTCTTCCCTCTACTGTTGCCATTATGCGCAATAATATACCTTGTATCCTTCCACCACCATATGTACCATTTCCAGGGTTAATAAGTAACGCGATACTTGTAACGGGGCATATTGTTATAGTTACCGTTACAATTCTGCTTCTTTTCGGTAACAAAAGAGTAAAGACGCGCGTTATATTTCCTTATGAGTAATGTTAACGCAATTAATAATAAGATTGGAATTAAGATCGTTTTATATGAATACATCATCTAAATACGAGAAATGCCACTTAACAATCAAAGTTAAGATGTTGAACTAATATATATATGTATTCTTATTTTAAATGAATTTATTTCAAAAATTGATTGTGTCTGCCACGTTGCTTTTGCAGCGAGATAAAAATTTTCACCTCATCTTGTGAATCGTTACACAAAACGCGACAAAGTCTTATTTATTGGCAAAGTCTATCATTATTAGATGATTTGATGGCGATGCTTCGATAATAAAAATTAAATAATCTACCGTATAAATATTTCAGTTAAAAAGATCTTTATTTAATCACGAAATCATAACATTTCTAATAAGTCTGTCTTGCACTATCATTGTATTTTATAAATGAAACATAAATATTAAAAATAAAAAAAGAAAAGGAATAATCTAAGGAGTCAAATTGGATCTCGATGCATGTTTCATATTATAAATTGATTGCACAAAAAAAGGATGTTTCCTTCAATTTGAGCATTTAAAATATTTTTGTTTTCAATAATGATAAAAATTAAAACAGAAAAATTGTTTCGGAGTAATATTATCATATCAATATATTTTTTTATACTTATTATTTTACGAGATTTCAAGATCATTTCTAGGTGAAATTTTTCACATTATAGTACTAAATAACATTACCAAGTTATAAATAACATACAAGTACTAAATAAAATTATCAACAAATCAATATAGTTTAAGAGATATTTTATATTTTATTTTAGCATTCTATTTGTCAAAATATATTAGAATATATAGTATAAAATATTTTATGAACTAATAATTTTTCGATAATTCTACTTTGATACTTTCATGTGCAAAATAATAAAAGGAATTATATTGTGTTAAAAAAAATATTTTATTAAAAAAGTCAAAGTGCTCTTGAAATCTCATAAAATAATAAGCATGCAAAAATATATTGCCTATGATAATATTTCTCTTTGAAACAAAAAATTTTTTCGTTTAGTATTTTATCGTAATATTATTATAAAAATATTAAAAATAAAAATATTTTAAATGCTTCAGTTGAAGCAAAAACACTGTATAATAATATAAAATAAACGCTATGCAATTAAATGGTACACATTTTAACCTCTAATCAAACCATCTTCAATGCGCTAATAAAAAATTGTAATAAAAGAACACAAGTTAATCGTCATATTAGAGTACATTCTACTTGACGCTTGCAACGCTCATGGAATTATTTCATTTTAGTCGTTTATCAAATGTCAAACGAGGACAAATAATGCTCTCGAGAGTGTGAGCGCTAAATAAAACGCACTCCTAATGAAAAATATAAATAAGACACACTACGCAAAAAAAATTAAAGGACATCACATCTATTTTATCCTCCAAAAATATGCAATATTCGAGAGAGTGTAACATCGTAAAAAAATGATCATAACAAGATTTTAAATGAAATCTCTATTTTTTTCGAGATCGGTAATCTAGAGACACGGTAATGTTTTAACGCTAAGAAAAACGAAGTGTCGTACTGATATTACCGAAAAAATCATACATAACGCTCAAGAAATCGTATAACGTTCGCAACGAAACGCAAATTAAAGGTAAAAAAAAACAAAAAATATAAATAAAAGGTAATAAATAAAGATGAGGTAGTAAATATAAATTAAAGGTAATTATTTCTTGAATTTATAATTCATGAAAATAAAATGTCTTCGAACACAGAGAATCGGCAGAGAAGGAAATAATAAAAAAAACACAAGAATTCATGATTTCACGACAAAGATGTTTATTCGGTATTACTGTACAGTTTTTTTTTTCTCGTCAAGAATAATTTCAATAACGTGCGTATATGACGGCATAACAATGATGAATTCTTCGGATGACAAAAAAATCAAAAAGATCGAAAATGTACTATGTCACATAGGACACTCTAACACAGTATGTACGTGCGTATATAGGTTTGCGGGGTGAGACTGTCGCTTTCTTTTTAACGTAATTTTAACTTTCAATGTCTTATTCATTCGTTATACTGAAATTCATTATTTCATAACAATGTGAGTTATACGCTACATGAGACAATAGGCCATGAAATTATTATAAACAAGCTGAAGACTTGGATGGAATTACGGTGGTTCATACAAAGATGTGTTATTTCTTCTTCACCGTTGTGTCGCACCGTTGCATCCTACCGAATCATGAAAAATCCGAGCTTCTCTAATGATTTCATGGCATCCCGCGCAACCAGAGACAGTCGTCGTCTTTACCATACAGCTAGACGATGCTGCCTTGGCAGTGACGCACTAAAACTATATCAGCAATATCTTATGCAGATATCGTGGTTTAAAAGGCGAATAGAAGCAAAAAAGCCATCATAAGACAAAATAGACCCATGGCTTCAGATAAAGCGAAGCCCAAGATAGCGTATGAGAATAGTTGTTGCTTCAAGGAAGGATTCCTGGCATAACCAATGATCAGTGAACCAAATACAGATCCAATTCCAGCACCTGGAATAGCAAATCATTGAATAAATGCAGAATAAACAATGTCTCCCATGACAAAGTCAAAAATTTTATTGAGATGATATCAATATTTGTGTAAATATACTGGCACGTATTTAGAACGCGCTTAACACGATGTTAGCACGCTAACATATTATAATTTACATTGTATACTATAGAATTTTAGAGATGAAAGGGCGCTTTTATCGATAAAAGTGCGTTCTGAATACGGGCCACTATATATACATTATATTATAGTGTATATATATCACTATCTATATACACGCATATTACTAATGAAATATCAGAATAACATAAGTCGAATAAGTAAATATATTTTCCTATATCATATGCAGTAAATAAGATCACGTTATAACTTCACTTCTATGAGAAGGGATATGTTTCAGGAAACAGGATTCAAAGGGCAAATAGTATAAGGAACGCTATCATTAAGCAAAAGAGGCCCATTGCTTCAGATAGCGCAAATCCAAGAATAGCATAGTTGAAAACTTGCTGTTTCAGGGAGGGATTACGTGCATAACCAATAATTAAGGCTGAGAAAACCAAACCAACACCGATTCCTATAATATATAATTTTTTTAAATATAAATAACAAAATATATATACACAATTCAATAAATTTCTATTCTATTAATTGTTTGCAATCTATTAAAAAGAGATTTAGGTTGGTATTCATAGTCGACTCTTATATTTAAGGAAATTCTCATCTTAAGGAGGTTCTCGCGCTATTTCCCAATCAATAAATAGTTTGGACACAATATTTGTAAAATTATGTAAAACAATTAAAATAATAATATAAAAACGTTATCAATAATGTCTAACTTGCTAATGTACATAATCATACTCATTATGTTATTAAATATTTAAAAAATGACAAAATAAACGTTATAAGATGCTCATTTAACATTAGTATAAATAGCAGAAAACATAATACGAACATGATATTTATTTATTATTATTACACCTTAAATATAATAAATTAAATATAATCTGAATTAAAAATGTACAAATTAACAATTATAAATATATTATAAATTTATTATATTTTTACTTATTACCTTAAATTACTATATTAAAGTACATTACATAACCACAGACGCATCGTCCATTTGACAAATATTCTTGATTTTCTTCATTAGAAAATATAAATTTCTCTCAAACAGTACAGTCAATTTAGATGAAACTTTACCTGAACAAACGTAGAATATTTTGTTTGCTTTGTAATTATAACCATTTTTTAAATTTCTGTCTTATGTGGAAAGATCTCAATTTAAGAGAAAATATTTACAGAATAAGGTTATACATTTACTTATAATGTTCTATTGTAAAATTCTATAAAGTTAGAATTAAATATCTTGAAACGGGACGGCAAAAGTCAATGAAATTTTTTCCTAAATATCGTTGATATGATTAAATAATGATAAAATGTATTACATTTATATTATGGACTTGTCTTATATTTCATCAAATGCGAGAACCTCTTTAAGTAGGTATAAGTCTTATGATGTCATAAGTCAATCAGAGGACTGTATTACCATCTTGAGATTACTTAGGTTTATCTTAAAATAAGAACGGATTATAAGTGCCTTAATTTTTAAAATTATATTTGGAAGAAAATTAAATTCTAATTCAAGGATTCTTATTAATAAAAAAAAAATTAATTGGACGTATTATTAAGAATATTCGACGATATACAGTAAGTATTAAAAAATTAGTATTGATAAATAAATATGCCTCATTGCTATATTTATTACTACACAAATTTTGCTACTATTACTATATTTTTTATTATCTTTTATACCGTTATTGCCAAATTACATTAATAGTTGATAATTATATAAATTTTGCACATACGTACCAGATCCTGCTACTCCCACAGTAGCAGCA